ACATCAACACAAAACACACACACCGACTGAAATATTCACTCTCACACCGGGTGGTGAAGTTATTCAGTCATCTGGGGTCTGATTTCTCAAGGGCTGCAGAGCGTGAGTGACTCATGGAGAGCTGTGTGTGTGTGTGTGTGTGTGTGCGCACACTGCTTGTGTTAAGTAACCGTGTACTTATACATACATATAATATCCATTTCATGCTCCGCTATCGTGTGCTGCATTAAAATACGTTGCTGCGTTGAGTGAGAAAATTGGTTCTGGAAAAAAAAAGACAAAATCAAAAGCTTCCTTTAACCGCGCCGATGACTAAATATCATCTCAGGGCTCTGGTGATATCTGCACATATTCACGTTCTTCCTCACAAAAAGCGACGCTTGTTATGGTGCATTTAGCGTCTTCAGAAAGTTGCCGGTAACTAAAGAACTTTAGGATGCAATCACAGGTTTTAAATAAATGATTGAAGCTGCTTGTCCCTCTCAGCCCTGCAGGAGGGCAACGGGCACCGCCGTGCAGCCCGCAGTGAGCGTGTTCGTTAGCGGGAGGCCTTCAGTGACCTGGAGACGAGTCACACAGCCATTGAGTGTGAAGTGATGTCCTGATGCTGTCGGCATCTGCGGCCCCTCGCCTTCCACGTTCTCCCCGCGAGGTACAAGAAGAGGTGAATAGAACCTTCAAAGCTCACAGACAAAACAGTCCTCCTGACTTTTTGGGTTGCCAGGCAACCAGCTGAGACGCAGCGGGGAAAGTAGTTTATGTGGATTAAAGGGGATCTTTGTGGAGGCAAAGACACGCAGGAGGTCGATAAACACAGGACCTGCACAGGACCTGAGAGGGACTCCGTGTTAACGTCCACTCTGACAGCAGGAACCTCGGCGTGACGTCGACAGCCGACTCTCTGACTCCCAACATCACTGACAACACCATCCTGTAGATACTCGCTCTACAACATCAGGAGAACACGTCCTCTTCTCACTCAGAAGGAGGTACTGATTCAGGCTCTTGTCGTCTCCCTCCTGGACTACTGGAACTCTCTCCTGCAGGTCTCCTGCTTCCACCATTCAGCCTCTGCAGCTCATCCACAATGCAGCAGCTCCACTGGTCTTTAACCGTCCTAGTATTTATTTATTTAACGCCTCTTATCTGTAGCAAGTTGAACTTATTTGATGAAATTGCACGTTCTTGTTTCTTTGACTTTGTGTCCTTATGGTTGAAATGCACCTATTGGAAGTCGCTTTGGACAAAAGCGTCAGATAAACGTGTGATGTGATGATAAATCCATATTAAAAATATATTACAGGTTTATAAATGACAACATTCATATAATATCTAATCTCCTCCTCAGCAGCTTGTCCACAGGCACGCAGAGAGAGACACACACATGCTGCCCTCACACACTACCTACACACTTCCTGTGTGTCACTCCTCTGAGGCGACCCCGTCCTTCATCAGCCCTCCTCCTCCTCCTCCTCCTCCCTCTCTGACGCACTGCTAATTGGCTCATTTCTGCAGCAGAGAGCGGAGTGAATGCGGCGGGCGTCGTGGGGCCGGGCGCTCTTTGCATTCTGGGCATTCCTGGTGCACTGAGGGGGGTAAAAGGGGATTTCGGGATGTCCGCGCTGTGCGCTGGGGGGGATTCACTCATTCAGAATCTCCTCCATCACCATAAGCTCCGTGCTGGTTGTGTGGGAGGAGCCCCGGGGAGGAAAGGTGCCGTCGGGCCTTTTAAGACGCTCTCTCCTCTCGACCACCATGTAAGGACCGGGAGCATCGATCAGGTCAATGCGTCACATCACGACACCTACGCACAACATCTGGAGATTAGAACTACACACAAGAACCCAAAAATGACTTTTTTTTCTCACAATTTAACATCTCTAAAAGAACTATATTCAATAACATGTGAAAGGCAGCCAGTGATGTGTGCGTGTGCGTGTGTGTGCGTGTGTGTGTGTGTGTGTGTGCGTGTGTGTGTGTGTGTGCGCTCCGTGAGTCTCTCCTCTGAAGACACTAACAAAGCTCCGTTACCTCTGAGGGGGGCGGCGCTCTACTATGCAAACACCGGACACAAGCCGGCAGTGTTTATACACACACACACACACACACACACACCTCTCCATCCATCTCCATCTGATGGGCACGAGCATGTTTCCACCGGGTGCTCGCCAACATCCTCCTCCATACCTGAAGAAGCTCCCGACCCAAACACAGACGCTTTTATGGGCTCAGGTGTCTCCAATGTCCCCGTGTCTCCAGGGACACAAAGCGCCGCGTCTTCTGGGAGCCTTTGATGTTCTCAGGTCTGAGTGCATTGGACCGTTTCTCTCTATATATAGAGAGACTGTGACATACTCTCATACATATATATATGTGTATGACAGGGCTTCGTAGGGACAGCCGAAGCCTTTAAAACATCCGACAGCGAACGCAGAACTAATCCGTGTGTTTAAAGGATGAAGGCCGGTGGTCGATGATCAATGAATCTCACACACACACACACACACACACACAGCAGCAGCATCTGTTTCTACATCACAGCCTGCTAATTAAATGATTGAAAAAACCTTGTGTTATTTATACGTCTGCATTTGAGAAGACAAGTGTCTTATGAATTTGTCTTTGTGTCTCTGCATGTTTCTGCATGTACTGCTTTAGTTTATATGTAGACGTATTTGAACCCTTTAGGGGCCGTCACAACTTTCCTGCATTGAGATAAGATGAGCAGCATAAAGAGCTCATAGACTGCGGAGACATTGAGGGGTTTTCTCTGTCCACATAACAAGACATTTCACTGGAGACGAGCCTCACGACATCCCAATTAAATATATCTGCTCACTGACTGTAGTTATATAGACTGTGGGCGGAGTTTCCAGCATGACAGACCCCCGTGATGCTGTCTGAGATTTATTTAAGCATCTAATTCCATAACTGTTTATATATTTATACTCCCCACTTTGATCAACGACTCCACAGACGCGAGCTAAATTAATTTATCTAAAAAACAAGTTAGAGTCACAACGGAGGAGGGGCGGGACAAATACCGCACGGCCCAAACAAAACAAAAACAACAACAGGGAGGTTTATGAAGGGACCAGCAGGCGCGTCCTCTGTGTGCTTCATCCTCCACGTTCATCCAGAACCAGAGCTCCTGTATCACAGCAACCAGGGCGACTCCTCTGCTCCCATAGACGTCTATGAGGAAATGACTCTACTCCTCTGTAGTGACCAGCAGGGGGCGACTCCTCTGCTCCCATAGACGTCTATGAGGAAATGACTCTACTCCTCTGTAGTGACCAGCAGGGGGCGACTCCTCTGCTCCCATAGACGTCTATGAGGAAATGACTCTACTTCTCTGTAGTGACCAGCAGGGGGCGACTCCTCTGCTCCCATAGACGTCTATGAGGAAATGACTCTACTTCTCTGTAGTGACCAGCAGGGGGCGACTCCTCTGCTCCCATAGACGTCTATGAGAACATGACTCTACTACGTCACCTCGCTGCCCCGCTGACGTTTCTTTATCTCCCTCAAACTGTGTATTTGAGGCCGTGGTAGCGACCAGATGTAACGACTTAACCCCCCCGACCTCTCCTGTCCCGCCTGGGCAAATAAAACGTCGACATCCGGCCGGGCGGCTCCTCCTCTGACAGCTCCACTCCCTCCTCCTCACAGAGGGACGGGAGGAGGCGCTTCATCGCCGCTAAGGTCGGCGGGGTGGTGCACAGTGTGTGTGTGACAGAAACACAGACATTCATGTATCGTATTTCGTAGTATTCGTAAAAGTATATAAAGTGTGTATTATGTCGCATAACTGTTCCGAGGAATAAATGTAATAGTCAGAGACACAGTCAGACGGCCTTTCCTCGGTCACATCTGATGCGTTCTAAATGTCCAGATATTATAAATAAACGAGACAAAAACATGAGGTCAAAACGTCTTTTGTCAAATCAGGGGGCGACTCGGTAAACATTGTAAACATGAGTTTATGGTCTCAGTCTCTAGTTTCAAGTCTTCTTCAATACAGCGTGATGCTCATTTGGTGGATTATGGTCCGTGTAGTCCAACAGGCCGCTTTAGGGCGGCGCTACACGCTGACCCACAGGTTGACGGCAGCATCTCTACGTCCTCCTCAGTCCTCAGACTGACAAACTGAAGCACACGAGCGCCACAATCTAAAAATCGTCAAACTCAAGGCTCAAGACCGTTGGTCCACAGACGGATGGGACACGGCCACTTGTTATTCACAGGCTCTGGATGTAGCGCAGACGCCGCAAAGTGTGAAGCGTGAAACAGACGAAGGGTCAAGCAGGTTACAGCCAAAGACAACGGACTCATGAGCTGAACCAGAACTGGTGGATTAAAGACCTGAAACAACAGCATCGTGCATATTTAAGAGAACAATAACCTGCAAAGCACTTAACTGAAAGGCCACGAAGGCGTGAAAGTGGATTTGTTTTCTATCACATATCGGCCATAAAGGCGTTATTTTACAGCAGAGGAACCGGTCTGCGGCTGTTTTGGATTAAACGACTGAAACGTGTCCCAGCGGGACTTTTCCCAGAGACTCAAAGACCTGCAGAGCAGAAGCAGCTGACTTCACATCGGACCTTCTCAGGCAGCAGCATAATTCTATTAAATGCCCACAGTCAGTCGATTAAATATCTTCTACCACCGGAACCTCAGCTGATTCTGGATCTGTGCCGCTGGTGTTTTGGCGCAACAGGTGAACTCATTCCGACAGAGAAGCGGTGATGGAATCAGGTCCAACAGTCACAGTTAAACCCCAACACCATGAATCACATTGTACTGCGCAGGGTCTACATGTGAAAACCATTAAATGTTTTTCTCTTGAAAAACCATATCTTACGAGCAGCTTTCCCCACGTGTTCATGGGGACGTCAGAAGGTCGTCGGGTGGACAACAGACAACGTGTCCTAAACGTCCTTTATTCCTTCTAAACACAAACACGCCTGGTCGCTCCCCGCGTGCTCGGTACTCACACGAAGGCGTGGTAGATGAACGCCCACTCGCGCGGTCTCTCCAGCACGTTGTACAGGTAGTTCTGGAGCCGCCGGTAGCTCGCGTTCCTGCGGCCGCTCTGCGCGCTGTAGATCAGCGGCTTCCCGAGCAGGCTGAGGCGGGCGCCCTGCTTCCTCTCCGCTCCCGCGGCACCGGGGGACGGGAGGCCGTCCCCGGCCCGCGCCGCGCTGCTCATCGCCCGGTGCCCGGACTCCACATCCTTCGGCGCGCGGTCCTCCGGCCGGCGGCCCGTCGGGGTCTTCAGCCAGAGACCCGCTCCGCCGCCGCCGTCGTCGCCGGCGTGACTTCGCGGCATGGCATCACCGGACCCGCGGGCATTCGCGTGGAGCGCAAGTGCTCTCTGCGCCGGGGGGGCGTTCGGTGCGCTCACCGCGGGCCGGGGGTTTACGGTGTAAATGTCTTCTCTTTGCGAGATGTGTTCTTCCCAATCTGTTAGGCGAAGGAGGGGGCCTTGAGACGGGGTTCATGACTGGAGGTTATTCTCCGCACAAAGTGGGACAGCATGAACGGCCGGGGTATATAGGGGGGGGGGGGGGGGGGCTCTCTCACCTTCCCACGCGCGTTTTCTTTCCCAACTCACTTGCTTCTTTCTGTCAGATCTGTGTGGAGCTCCGTCACCGAACCGTGCGTCTCTTTTACGCACCACTCGGAGCAGAGCGCAGCTCCACCAACTCCACCAGCACCACCCGCCACCAACAACTCCACCAGCACCACCAGCTCCACTGAATCAATGCATTCTACCGTGCCGGCTTTATGAATGAATGAATGTTACTTCTGAATCATTTAAATTGAGAAACTGTAAAAGACTCCAAAGCAGCGATGACGCAGGTTTTACGCGGTGGTTTTAAGCCTTTAACCCGATGATCATTTAGAGCTGTTCATTAATAGTGGAAATAAAGAATCTTCTTGGCGTTTGTCGTCAGACTTAAAGGGACTGCTGTTAAACATTACGTTTTCACACCGAACGACCGCGTTATGTTATGAAAACCTCATCGCTAATATAAATTACATTTGTAATAAATATGCATCCACGTCCATTCAAAGACTTTCTAAACTTCCCCTTGATGGATTTCTTTGATATGACCAGCAGCGTCATTGACCGCCTCGGTGATGATGACGCAGATGATGATGATGATATTATCTTCATCTCAGTTTAGTCCTCCTAATAAAAACACCGTGAAACAAAAGTATTCGAATGTTTCTATCATTCCAGATCCTGTTGCTTTTTCATGGTTTTTTTGCACACAAGTTTACTTTTTGGGGATTATTTGAAGTTCGCGATGACGCCATCACGTGCAATGCGAGCGCGTCACAGCTGGACGTTTAACCGCAACATTCTTCTCTCGTGATCAAAGGACGACATCTGGTGGTAAACATCGACATTACAGCAGCAATCGGTGGATTAAGCATCTAGAGATTTATTTGTATTTCTAAAATCTGAAGATGTATTTTTGTCTACCGAGGCTGTAACATGAACTATTAGTGCGTTAATGATAATAGTAATAAAGGCATTGATTAGACCATTCTGGGTGGCATGAAATAAATTGTTCCTTATACATTCATTATCGTCCACATTCTTATATTATAAAATAAACAGTAGTCAGAAGGGTTAAAAAAATAAGACAAAATTGAAAAAAAATGAAATCAACCAAATGCAAAATAATACTGACACCATTTTAAAATACAATACAAATCCAATTAGGTGCAGTAAAGCACACATATAGTGAAGCGCACAAATACTGTTTAAGACTGTAGAGGAAGAGAGAGAGAGGGGGGGAGAGAGGAGGGAGATGAAGGAGAGAGAGAAAGAGAGAGAGGGGGAGAGAGGGAGGAGAGAGAGGGGGGAGAGGGGGAGAGAGAGAAAGAGAGAGAGGGAGGAGAGAGAGGGGGAGAGAGAGGGAGGGAGAGGAAGGAGAGAGAGGGAGAGAGAGGGAGGAGAGAGAGGGGGGAGAGAGAGGAAGGAGAGAGAGGGAGAGAGAGGGAGGAGAGAGAGGGCGGAGAGGGGGAGAGAGAGAAAGAGAGAGAGGGAGGAGAGAGAGGGGGAGAGAGAGGAGGGAGAGAGAGGAGGGAGATGAAGGAGAGAGAGAGGGAGGAGAGAGAGGGGGAGAGTTGTTGGGGATTAGCTCGTGCTGCAGGTTGAACGGGATCACGCGCGCTCCGCTGTGGACGTCTCCTGCACGTGCGCCTCCCCGTCAGTCCTGTCAGACCCGTCACTCATTCACTCACTCATTCACTCACTCACTCACTCACTCACACGCACGCCCGCCCTCTCCGTGGGGTCATGGCCGCCATCCCCCCGCTCGTGAGGGTCGGCATCTCTTTGAAGATGCTTCCCAACAACGCGGCGGTGCACTTCAAAGCGGACGGCGCGCGCTTCGGGCAGACGCGAACCATCAAGCTGCTGACCGGCTCCAAGTACCGGGTCGAGGTGGTCGTTAAACCGGGAGCCGTCGAGGCCACGTAGGTTGCCGTTGTTGTTTATTGATGTATTTAAGAAACGTCTCCTGGAGCCTTAAAAGAACATTAATATCAGAGATGTGTAAACGTGGCACTACTATTTAGTGTTAACTATTTATTTTAGTGACGTTTTAAAGCCTCTGAGGCATTTTAATCGATAGTCTTCACCTGTGAAATACGTCTTTAGTTGTTTTTATTAACATATATTTATCCTTTTACAACGTCAAACACACTTCGGCGATCACGTGCTTTAATGCTTAGCGGTAATTAAGCGACCGGATGTCGCGGTTCCTCCCGTGACAGCGGCGACTTTGACCGAAAGCGAGTGCAGATTTTAAAGCTGTGTTCAGGGACAGTGGGATTTATGGGTTAGGATTTAACAACCTGATGAGCCGTTGAGATTAAGGAGAAACGGGAACAACAACGTGTTCTGCACGACGCTCTCACTAATGTATATTTTTAGTGTGATATTATATCAAAAGTCCTGCACTTTGTGGCGCATCAAGTGCAACGCAGCAGGATTTTACGAGCAACGCTTGAAGGCAACATAAACCTGCACAAATCCCGCACGGATTAGGGACTCCGGGGTATTGTGTAATGTAATGTTTTCAAATCTCACAAACGAGGATTAGTGTTCAACATCTAAATCTCCGAGTGTGTGTGAATGAGGCGAAAATAGGTCACACGTGCGATGACGTTTTGAAATGTGGGTCATGAAGCACATCTGCTGACTATTTTAGGATATGATGTGAAAACGAAACCATGTCCTTTTCTTTTTTAAACGCAACAGTGAGTATGAAGTACAGTTTTGCACGTATATACAGTTTGTGGTTTTAAATAGCTTGTTTAATATTGAACACATCTTTTAGTGTCTGTTTTATAAAGAGCGTTGCACGTGTGGTCCCAGATGAGCCTTTCCTCCCTCTGCTGTGCTGCTGGTCTGCAGGTCGATGAGCGTGGGGGCGGTGACCTTCCCCCTGGAGCTGCAGTCCAAAGACCCCCAGGCGGTGGTCTACGGGGGCCAGTACGACACCGAGGGGGTCGCCCACACCAAGAGCGGAGAGCGGCAGCCGGTTCAGATCAACATCCAGGTAGAACTCAGCTCGTCGGCTACACCTTCTAGACCGCCTGCTTCTCCCAAAAGTCTGACTCTAGTTTGACTGGTGTCGTTTTTTGAATGATCGCAACACCCAAAATTAAAAATTTGTGGGTATTTTTAGCTAATTTGATTTGTTTCGATATATGACATTTTGTACTATTTTGAATTTATTAACGTTCAAATGCATTTTCTAATATTTTTCCTAGTCTGTTCATTTGCTCGGAAACTTCCAGAGTCTGAGGGGTCAAAACATAAAATATATTTAGATGTGTGTAGTGGCCATATGTCTTCTGGGATGTGTGTGTGTGTGTGCGTCCATCTGTCCGCTCAGTATTTCACTGTCACGTCATCGCACTCGTGTCCCGCCCCCCCGCTCACCTGGCCCTCTCTACTTCCTGCTCCAGTTCGCGGAGGCGGGGCTCTTTGAGGCGGTGTGGCAGGTGAAGTACTACAACTACAACAAGCGGGACCACTGCCAGTGGGGCAACAGCTTCAACAGCATCGAGTACGAGTGCAAACCCAACGACACGCGCACGCTCATGTGGGTCAACAAGGAGGCGTTCGTGTGACCGCGCGGTCGTCATGGAAACGTGGCCACGAGGAGGCAGATCGGACGCGTCTTTCCATCGTTGAGCCACATCAGAAAACCTCCTTGAAGAAGAAGAGAAGATGAAATGCCACTTTGGATCCTCGGCCATGTTCACAGAGCTTCAGTCTGTTTATGGTGCTGAAGGCGCTGATGATTACGACCATGAAGATTCCTCAGGTGATTACCAACATTAAAGATGAATATTTATTGTGTTCTGAAATATTATGTTTAACTATGCACGTGAGGCAGTATGTAACGGACACTTTAGGAGAAATCTACAGATAAAAGTAGTTAAACAAATCTAAAATGATTCGCCTTAAAATGAGAAATGTGGAATTTGCGTTCAAAGACCCACGTGTTAAATGTTGTTTTTAGATGGTGTCGTCATGTGATAATAAGCGTGAGGTGTAGACTTGTGCTCGTGTGCGTGTTACTAATTCAGCCTCATTCTGAACCGTGACGTCGTGTTAAAAACGTGCACCATCTTTTTAAAAAGTGTGCAGCAACGTGGCCAAAACTCTACACGTTGTTCATGAAGAAAATGGGAATTTTCGGTAACAAATGCAGTACGTATGTTGTAATGGTGAAAATATGATATAACATTGTCTTGTGCTAAACCCGTGTCTCTTGTCTGTATCGGACCCCGACGTACAAAGAGCAGCATGATACACGACCTTTAATTGGCCGCGGTGTCCTGAGAAGGGACGGCGGCCAACTGGCTCGAACAAAGGAACCGTGTGTGTTCCTCTTATCTCAACGTGCTTCTCGTACCCGCCACTGACGGCCTTCACAGACGCCGTCTCCTCAGAGCACTGTGATACGTGACGGGGTGTTTGGCCTCCTGCTTGCAAGCAATAAATAGACCTTTTACAGTTTGGATCATTCATCAAGACTCTTTTTTTATTAGATAAACATTAAATGAAATCATTCTCTTCTCCCGAACTAGTTCATTGAAATATTCCACAACAACGTACAATACCGTTTGAATGCTGTATTACTTTTATATTTTGGGGTTTTGTGTTCGGGTGAAGTCGTGCTCCTCATTTCCTCTCTCTACCTCTTCCTCTAAGGACCAATAGGAATCCTGAATAAGATATTCAATATTCTTGAAATCGTTTTGGTAACCTACGGTGTTTTAATGAAGTAGTATTTTTGTACAGTGGACCACTTGAAATGTTTACATATTAACGTGCGTAGCAACAATCTGTGGCATATAATATATTATATGTGGCATATCATAATTGACGTAGGCAATAAAATGTGATTCTGACAGTGTTTGTTTGTTCATGTTATTAAAAGTAAAAGTGGAAAATATTTTGGGTGACATTCAATTTATTTATTCCAAGCCGACTGTAAACTCTTCATGTGAAAAAACAGGAAACTACGAAGAGACGAAAGCAACAAAGAAGAGAAACACTTTCGATACCGAACCTCGTGTTTTAAATTACAGTCCCTGCAGAATGAAAGTGTTTGATACCTTTTTTTGCACTGAATCATACTGGGATGTTTACTGTCCACCAGCCGCCACTGGCGCACGAGTAAAAAGGGGCAGACGTGACGTCATACGCTAAAGAAACGTGGTTTGAGGAATCACGAACGCAGGTGAGCGCCTACAGGCGTGTTGCGCTCCAATAGCGTGGAGCTTCAGTAGTGACGTCATGCAGCGCAGCCGTAGTGCGCGCTCGCCTCCGGCAGAGGGAGCCGGACCCCTCAGATCGAGCCAGGAGGTGAACGTAACGCAATCTTGTAGTTCCCGGATGTTGAGTACAGTGACCCCGCCCCTGCCAACACCTCCTGCTTGTCAAAGCGAGCTTCCTCCTCCTCCTCCTCCTCCGTCCCTCCTCCGCGGCAGAGAAAGAGCCCGGAGCTGCGTGTAAAGGCAGGACGAGCCCCCGGGGACAACCGTACGCAAACACGCGCGCACACGCATTCTGTGAACCAGCCCTGCGACCCCCCCGGAGACCCCCTCCCCGCGTTGGACTTCTTTTCCGCTCTCGTCGCCTCCCGGATTTCATCATCCGACCTTCGAGATGGTAAGCGGTGTTTCTGAGATTCCTGCCCGGTAGACTCGGCCGTGGGTCGGGGCCGCGTCTCCCCACGTCGCCTCCCCCCACATAACTCCCCCGCGTCGCCCCGTTTACCGCTCAGCGGTTCTTATGCTTTGAGTTCGATCCAAAATGAAGAAGAAAAATAAAATAGAAAAGTGGAGCTCCTCTCCCCGCTCGTGTCTCGCGCGCTGCGCGTAACACCACCGGGTGTCCAAAAATCGGGTTAAAAAATGTTTTGACAAAAAGTAGAAAATATCAGCTCAAAAATCGTTTTAGGGCAGAAATCCCCCAAATATTGGGTCGAAAAAGGTCCTCGGGAAAAAAAAGTCTAAAAGTATTCACGAAAGCAGTCAGAAAATGTTCAGTTAAATCAGCAAAAATTTGTCTCAGAAAAAATTTATTGGAAAAGAAGTCAAAATATGTTGGGTTGAAATTTGTCTTGGGGACAAAAAAAATAACGAGACGTACATTTTTTTGAAATAAGTAAAAATGTCTCCGGTCAGAAAAATGTGACCTGTGAAAAAAATAGCAAGTCAATAATAAAAGTTAAAAAAAAAACATTTTTAAAGTCCATTAATATTAGGTCTGTAAATGTTTTGGAAAAAAGGTTAAAAAAAAAAAGTTAATTATCTTGGGTAAAAAATGTCATGGATAAAAAGGCCAAGAATATTAGGTCGTTATCTCAAAAATGTTTTGGAAAAATAGAATTTAGAAAATGTATTAAAGTAAAAAAAATGTTAGGTCTCATCTAGGGATTCTCTCTGAATGTCTTATGTCTGTCACCATGAAGGATTCCTGCATCACCACTGATTTTAATGCATGAGAATATTTAAGCACATAGCATCAGGCATAAAATGTGTGAGAGGATTTCCCAATTGCAGCAGTCACATTTGTATCATCATTTTCCGATTCAAGCACATGACTCCATGCGGGCCCATTTTCACAGAGAGTTGGTGCACTTATCATGAACTTGTCTATTCCACGAAGCAGGGATGCCTGAATGCACATTAATCTGCAGCAAAATACGTCGATAATTTGCTCCCGTTTGGGTCTCCTCCTCGTTATGCAGTACGTGTTTTGTGTGCCGAGGCCTAATTGATTCTGAATGAATGAATTATTGATTAGCCAACACGAGCTCCCCGGTTCCTCTCTGAGGGAGCTGCTTTCTTCCCCCAATCATCACATGGGATGCAGCTCACAGAGACGTGTATTGCCACCCGTCCCATAAAATACGGAATCGTTATTAGGAATAAAACCGTGCATCCCGTTTTGCATCAATACGCGACGGGGTTGGTCCCGTATTTTCCGAGTTGTCTTCAACGCAGCATCCCGTGCAAATAATCCCGCGCTAATTCTGCGAAGACTCGTCCCATTCTGCCCCTGATTGGGTAATACTCGCTGCCATCGTTTGATTGGTTTGTTTCAGGTTCACGGCCAATCGGAGACAGAGGAGGGCGAGTCTCTTGGCGGAGTGGCGATTTGAATGAATGGTGGAGGCAGCTCCAGATACCCCCCCCCCCACCCCACCACGTCCCGCTCTGAAGCGAAAGCGGATGCAAAATGTGAGGAATCACCGAAGATTGATTGCAGAGTCGCCCCCCACCCGTCTCGTATTGTCCCTTATTTTTTGTACTAAAGGTTACAACCCTAATGCGGAGGTTTACTCATAAGTTACTCCTGACCCCGCCGACCTAAAGCAGGCCTCCGTCAGTAAACCCATAATCCTCAACGTCAGATGTCCTTTGCACCTAAACCACGCCCTGAACGCCATTCTGTTCGGCAGCTTTAATATTCACCTTTATGGTGAGATTACATTAATAAGGAATCACCGGCTCCAGTTCTGAAACCCTTTTCTCTTACCTGTACCTGAAGAGCATTTTAGACCAGCTTTGACCAACGGGAAATTACAAGTGAAGTCCACATTTCTTCTGCTGATTTGAGCAGAACGAGGGTGTGTTGATGAATCACGTGCTTTTCGTTATTTCAACTGGAGGAAAATTAAGTCTCTTTTGCCTTCAGTGCTGCGGACCATTCGACACCACGCACATGTCCACACTCTCAATGCCAAGTCGCTGTGCCGGCTAATCCCGCGTGACCTCCTCCACCTCCACCTCCACCTCCACCTCTCTGAGGAGGCGATGAGCCGGGAGATGACGCAACCGGGTACACGTGTAGTAGCGTGTCTGTGTGATTATTATCCCTTATAGTGCGTCAACAATATTCTTGGCAATATTTTGAGTTCTGTTGATTATAAAATATGTCACACCTGCAATGGTTAAAAGTGTGTGTACTCTTCAGACTGAATATCCAAAGGGAAGAGTTTGCAAGGGCGTAGTTAGTTTGGGATGTGCCTCTGCTGCACCTGAACCACGCGGTGGAGAATCTGAGGAATTCACCTCCACAGCTTGGACACAACGAAGACTCGTGTCTCCTCAGACAGGAGAGAACTGGACGATTTAATAGGTGACACCGTTGTTAGTTTGACACATTAATGCAGCTTCATGAGCTGAAGCTGCATTAATGTAGTGACCAGCAGGGGGCGACTCCTCTGCTCCCATAGACGTCTATGAGGAAATGACTCTACTTCTCTGTAGTGACCAGCAGGGGGCGACTCCTCTGCTCCCATAGACGTCTATGAGGAAATGACTCTACTTCTCTGTAGTGACCAGCAGGGGGCGACTCCTCTGCTCCCATAGACGTCTATGAGGAAATGACTCTACTTCTCTGTAGTGACCAGCAGGGGGCGACTCCTCTGCTCCCATAGACGTCTATGAGGAAATGACTCTACTTCTCTGTAGTGACCAGCAGGGGGCGACTCCTCTGCTCCCATAGACGTCTATGAGGAAATGACTCGATTTATTCCCTCGTAAACATGAGTTTACGGTCTGGCAGGATCCTGTTAAAGGTGGAGGAGTGTTGTAGCGTGAGGAACCTGTGGAATGCTGAAGGGGTTTAGGAGGTCGTCCGTCAGTCAATGAAGTGACCCTCTCTCTCTCTCTCTCTCTTTAGGGGAATGAAGCTAGTTTCCCTCTGGAGATGTGCTCACATTGTAAGTATTCTGAATGACACAGAATGTTTTTTGTTTCATCTCATCTTTTCTATCATGTGTGTTTGGTGGATGTTCTGAGGTAATGAAAACGAGTGGAGGCTGCTCGCTGGAGTTCCTCGTTGCCAGGGGTTTCCCTGGGGGCGGGGGCAGGGGCCCCGAGGGGGCGGGGAATGGCGGCTATAAATAAGCACCGCCCCGGGCGGCGAGCTGTACCTCATCCTCAGTTACATCATAACTCAGACAGGCAACATTTGACCACGATTATTCCCCGGTAGAATACCGCTGCACGTTCTTAGCGCTAACTAAGCGCTGGTCACAAACGCGCTGGCTGGTACACTTTGGAGTGCTGTTACCGTAGCAACGGAATATGAGCAACAGCATGGGATAGAAGCGGCGGCCATTTTTAATGCGTATACATGCGTTGAAGTAGCGTGTGGGCTAATATCTGTGTAAGTCAGTAGGGTTCATGGCGTAGTAACATTATGTAGCGAAGACCCGCGGAGTAAACGTAACACATGTAAAAATGCTAGCTACATGGCTAACTAGCAGACAGCTGGCTACTTCGCTATCTTGCTATTTTCCTCATTCGTCGATGCTACACGTTTCGTCGGTACGTTAGCATTAGCTGGACGCACGGGGCGTATCTGGAGCTGCGCCCGCCCTCCTCTGACTCTGATTGGCCGTGAACCTGAAACAAACCAATCAAACAAACGATGGCAGCGAGTATCACCCAATATGGGGACGAATGGGACGAGTCTCCACAGAAGTCAGGCGGGATTATTTGCATGTGATGCTGCATTGACGACAACTCGGAAAATACGGGACCAACCTCGTCCCGTGTTGATGCAAAACGCGACGCGCTGTTTTATTCTCAAATACGGGATGATTCCGTATTTTAAGGGACGTGTGACAACGCCACATGATGCTGATTCCTCCTTCAGAAGACCGAAGTTTCAAAGAAAATCAGTTAATTTAATAATCTTTGTCGTAAGTATTCTTGTGTTTCATTCTGGTGTTGAATTTACAAAAGCATCAGAGTACTAAATTATTCTTTATATATATTAGATAAATGAAGAAGTCTACGTCCATTAATATATTATCTAGAAGACACCTTTAGTTTACCTTTATGTTAGAACATAAATGGTGATATTCAAGTTGTATCTTGAGCTACGATTCACATACATAAGAAAAGCCTCTCTGGTTTGTAATATCATATATACACAACATACATATTCTGCCTGATAATTAGAGAAATCTATGTGACCCGAACACTCAAATTTATTCATGTTAATTCTGCGAGCGCCAAGCCGGAGACATCTACATATGCATGTGTTTTCATACACCTCAGTGTGCGTGTTCGTCTGTGTGGGCTACTTTGGAGGACTAACGTGTTCCAGTTGCCTAGTAACACAGTTGATGTAGAGGTGTGTGTGTGTGTGTGTGTGTCCCTCAGAGAGGCTCATTAGCATATTTCGGTGTGAGGAGCCTCTCAGATAATAAACAAATAAATGGGATTCCAACAAGGGCGGAGTCTGTGTGGAGTCTGCATGTTCTCCCCGTGTCTGCGTGGGTTCTCTCCGGGTTCTCCGGCTTCCTCCCACAGTCCAAAGACATGCTCTGGGGATCAGGTTAATTGGGGACTTTAAATTGCCCGTAGATGTGTGAATGTGAGTGTGAATGGTTGTGTGTCTCTGTGTTGCCCTGCGATTGGCTGGCGACCAATCCAGGATGTACCCTGTCTATCGCCCAAAGTTGGCTGGGATGGACTCCAGCCCCCCCGCGACCCTGTGTGCAGGATAAGCGGTTTGACAATGGATGGATGGATGGGATTCCAACAATTATTGTTGATGTAAAACAAATGAACGTGCTGGAGACACAGAATGAACATCTCGCTGTACTGAAGAAGCCTTTTGCACCAGAGAGTCAGACCATAAACTGTGACTGAGGGAATGAATCTGGAGAAGTTCCTGCAGCCGCAGAGTGAGTAGATCACCCTCCTCTTCCTCTCGCAGCCCAATACGAGGTTCCGCTGGTGCGACGCAGCCTCAGGTTTGTGGCTCCACATGAAATAAGCCAATCAACCTGTGAACTCTCATCACCTCATGAGCTCCTGAAACAGATCTCCAGCATTACGAGCCCTGAGGCCTCAAGCGCTCCGACAGATGATAAGATGAGTCTGGCTGTTTGCAGGAGGAAGAACAGAATAGAAAATGCATGACGGGTCACCAGAAAACGTACAAGATGTTCTTTTTACTTCAATCCAGCAGCACCTGTTTGTACAATTAGAGAAGCAAGCGACAAACTGAAGGAGATCACGTGACAGATGTTCAGTATTCATTCTGGATGACACCAAACGACCCCCCTCCTCCCTCTGTGTCCCGCCCAGTCGATGCCGACGAGATCAAGAGGCTGGGGAAGAGGTTCAAGAAGCTGGACCTGGACAACTCGGGCTCGCTCAGCGTGGAGGAGTTCATGTCGCTGCCCGAGCTGCAGCAGAACCCGCTGGTCCAGAGGGTCATCGAGATCTTCGACACGGACGGGAACGGAGAGGTGGACTTTAAAGGTGCTCATTACTTCTAGTACTACACATGCGTAATATATGTATGTGTTTGTAGACCTTCATAAGACTGACTGAGGCTCTCTCCTCTCCCAGAGTTCATCGAAGGCGTCTCTCAGTTCAGCGTCAAAGGGGACAAAGAGCAGAAGCTCCGCTGTGAGTAGAGCTTCACACGTTACACCGTCCTGCTGCCCCCGAGGCTGATTTCCCCCCCCATCCTCCCCCCACAGTCGCCTTCCGGATCTACGACATGGACAAGGACGGCTACATCTCCAACGGCGAGCTCTTCCAGGTGCTGAAGATGATGGTGGGCAACAACCTGAAGGACACGCAGCTGCAGCAGATCGTGGACAAGACGATCATCAACGCGGACCGGGACGGGGATGGACGCGTGTCCTTCCACGAGTTCTGCTACGTGAGTCCTCCTCCATCCTTTTGAGGGGTGGAGCACAGGGGTCCAGTTACGGGATGAGATGGCGGTGCGTTCTTTGGAACGTGGGGTCGTTTGTTTGGTCGGGTGACTCGACCCTTTTTACCTAAAGAGTCTTTGGCTGAATCATTATGTGATGAAGTGTTTTGTGCTCGTAGCCGAGAAGAAGCCATCTTGGATTAATGGATGTTTGTGACTCCTCCCCCAGGTGGTCGGTGGTCTGGACATACACAAAAAGATGGTGGTGGACGTCTAAGCGCCGCCCCCCCCCTGCTTTCTCCACCCTGGACATCTGCTCCAGATGTCCTTCAAAGCGCTCTGTGCAGCTGAAGCCTCTTGATATTTATTTTTTGTTCTTGTCTTTTATAAAGAATTCAAAAGTATATCTATGGTTTGTCTGATGGGGGAGGGAGGGGGGGGGGGTGTAACCAACATATGAACAGTAGAAGGGTGTGAAGTGCCAACCGGAACATTTCCAGGTTATTACCCATCATTCAGAACTGTGCTTTAACATCCGCGTTGATACACTTGATATTTTCATTCACACTTAGAAACAACTCGTATCGCTTGAGATCTTTTATTTTATAAATCAATTTGTGGCCACGTGTAATCAATATAATTAAAGTGTGGCTTTAGTGCTCCGGATGTGATGTTTTTATTCCAAATGTTTGGGTTCCTCCCCTCAGCCAGTCAAACTCACTCAACCAAATGTCTCATTTCAAAAACAAAGCGGTTTACAGCAGGAAGTCTTAAGAAAGCTTTTACTTTGAAGGCCAAATGCAGGTTTGACCCAGAGCTTTTCCCTCAGACGCCTGCGAGGCTCAGTTTGCCCACATGGAACAAAAAATGATTTATTTTTTGCACACGGAGGAGAATTTACTGAAAACAGTTTTGTCCCTCTAGTTAATCTCAGTTTCAGTTCATAGTTGCTATTTGTTTTATTTTCTCAGAGGGTCCTTTGAGTCAGTTGCGCTGTCTTTCTGTATATTGTGCTTTGGGACAAACATGATACTTTATAAAAATTAAACTTAGAGGTTGGAAGTCAAATCTTTTGTTTTGATCCAAAACGTGTAGAACAATGGAATAAATGACGCACACCTGACTGAAATAATTTATTTACAAACGTAAGCTTTGAGATAACTGGAGGTGTCAGTCAGCCGGCCAATGGGGGGGAGGCATCGCACACCAAACAGCCCTCAGAACCTCTCGGCGGTCCGGCTGGCCACCACCCTGATGTTACCGTAGACCTTTGAAGGTGGACTTCCTGTCGGGAGCAAAAGGGGGGTTCAAAGGTCACATGTGGATTCATGGAGTTTCGTTGCCATCCTTCAAATATAAAAACATCACATCCTCCTCACCTAATATCAAGTTGCAAATGGCCGTGCGAGCCATCTTGATGTTCTGGAAGGATCCAAGTATGTGAACCTTCCTGCTCAGAGGACGAGATTCACTTCAGACGAGTAAACAGAGAAATCCTAAATGTACTAAAGCGTAATAATAAAGAGTGTGGAGTACTTATAGTACTCAAAGTACTATAAAGGTGGTCTTATAGTACTGAAATAAGGGGATGAAGGACTTTTTGTTGAGTTTATAAATGTAAACTTTGAAATAACGATCCAGGAGAAAAGTTAATAATAAATCGTAATCGAGAGGGAAGTTCAGTTGTGTGTGAATTAGATTTATTTATATAGATTATTTAAATCCTGCAACAACCAACTTCCCTTCTATTTGTCAGAACTTTTGATTTATTGATTTCGGTTTGGACGCAATGAAGAAAAGATGAAACAATTAAGAGTATAAAAGCTGGAAATAGTGATTTTACTGAACGGAGAAATTAAATCAGTACAGAACTAGAAAAGTCAACATTATTCTGGAGACAAATATCCAAACTTTTCTCTTCGGTCTTAAAAATGCAAAATTACAAAAGTTAAAGCTGCAGACGAGTGAAGTGAAATAAGTGAATATTAATTGGTAACCATGGAGATGAACTCACGTCTCTGCGAGCACGATGCGGGTCTTTGTGACGTTTTCGATGGTGAACTTGGTCTTTCCTCCCTTCCCTGCGATCCTGCCGATGGCTCTGGACAGGTGGTCTCCCTTCAGAGGTTTCACTGTCGCCACGGCAACAAGAGAAAACAATTAAAACACACACAGAAACCGGACGCCGAGCCTCGGAGCCTCCGTCTTACCGTCTGTGACGTCGAAGCTTTCCAGGAAGAGCTCGTCTAGTCTGATGAGGGCGAGGGCGTCCTGGAGGAGAGGAAGAGTCGGGTTCAGAGGTCAATCTCCAGAGTAAGTAACAACACAGTCCTCTTCTTCGTGGGTGGGTGGGTATTTTCTGCAGCTGATGGTAGCGGTGTGAGCGGAGCCCGAATCTCCGCAACTGAATGCTGGCTTGTATCGAAGGGGAAAGGCTTAAAAAGCCAAAGTAAGACGTTAAAACCTTACATTTGTCCACTTACTTCCACCTGGAACCCAAGAACAAACGCTTTGACAAAGTCTGACGCTTTAGTGAGCGATCCGATGTCCTGCGTCTCTTTGCATGTCTTTAAAAGGAAGAAGAAGAAGAAGAAACGTTACACTCTGCTTTAACGCTTTTAAGAGGCTCGGAGTCGACGAGGCCACGGCATACTTTTATCTCCACGTTCCGCGTCTTTAGGTTGAACCGAACTTGGAGCTGCAGGTTCTCCACGATGGGGGTGAAGATCTTCAGCCAGTTCTCCTTCAGCGGCGTGTACCTGTGAGCCGGGACGGAGACTTTACGCATCTCATCTGGCCCCTGAAAACAGACCCGGAGTGTTAGCAGCACAATGTGCTACGGCTTATTGTCCTCGACAGCATTTAATAATTGATGCTGTAGTATAGAATCTTTAGTTTAGAGCTTAATCTTAAGTGTGCTGACTGGTAGATATTTGATGAGTTATTAACGTTGGGTAACTAAACTAGAAAATGCAACACAAACATTATTGCAGCAGCAATATAAATACACACACATTTATAATATTGGTACTGTAGTTAATAGCTTAGATACTTTGACTCGAGTGAATGATGGAATGTTTGTACAGCAGCAGCTTTATTTACGGCAGTCACGTGACTTACACGCTATATATCACGTTAGCTGCTAGCTTCTTCGTGACGGAGTCGAATTACACTCACTTGTACGAACACGTTAAAGCACTTCTTACTTTAGTATTACTTGTACTCTATGAAACACCTCACAGAGTATAAGTACACAAGGAGTACTGACCCGTAATTTGTCGCTGGATATCGCGGGGAACTGCGGCCGCTTGGGGGCCCCGGGCCCCTCGGTCTCCATGTCCGCTCCGCCTGCTTCGCGTTTCCGCTTCTGGCTCTTCTTAGATTTAACCGTCGTGAAGGACCCCGCGTCCTCCGGGCCGTCCGCGGCAGCCACCGGGAGGGTGGTTTTATCGGTGTCCATCGCCGGTAACTGGTGTAAAGGGGAGCGGGAACAGCGAAGCGTGCGGCGGACCGAGGGCTACGGACGCATGCGGGTGTCCTCGTGCGACGGGAAGGACCCAAAATGCGACGTCATAAACGCCTGACCAGAGACACGTATTTAAACTGTGTTGTAATTGAGAAATGTGCCAGATTTGGATACTATACGTGTCGTTTTGGATAATTAAACATCCATTTAAATTGGGTTTGTGTATCTGTACATGTAAATTATGCTTGAATAATTTATATTTCTTCAGGCACCTCTTTGAACAGCTTTGTCTTCAGCTGGAGGAGGAAGGTCCGGTTTGTTGTGGCAGTTATATAAATGTCCATGGGTTAAGTTAGCTGAAGCGGACGGGGTCTTTCTATAAACCTTGACCAGAACAATATAAAATATTATTATCGATACCTCCTTAAACTGCAACGATGTCTTCGCCGCTCGCGAAGCCGCAGATTATCGCGCACATTCAGAAGAGTCTGAACTACACGGTGTTTGACAGCAAATGGATCCCGTGCAGCGCGAGGTTCGTCTGCCTGGGAAACTTCGCCAGAGGAACCGGGGTGATGCAGATCTACGAGGTGGAGCACGGAGAGGCTCGTCTCATCAAGGAGGTAAAGATGTCTCAGGAGAACATCGTCTAAACGGCCTACCTCTGGGCTAGCTCGCGTTAGCTTAGCCCGGTCTTTCTCGGCTAGTGTCTCCATAGCAACGAGCAACATGAAGAAGCGCCATGCGACGGCATGTTTATACATAACGTTACATACATACGCACGTGTGTATAAACCTGAATACAAATGTTGTTACAGATAGTGATAAAACTGTTATTCATATACAGAGTAAATAGTGTTAATTGTCCGTAATAATTCATTCAAGGTTGGATGCGGATGTCAGAGGCTGATTTAATGTATGAACCGTTCAGTATTTGTGAGCTCAGACAGTTGTGGTGGCGCCACATGAACAATGTTAATCACCTTGTAGATATGTAACACGGCTAATTATGTTATTTTGCATCATTTAGTTAAATGTCTTGGAGGCACTGACGTGTTGTGGGTGATTCGGGTCGTCTAGTACTTAATGATCATTAATAAAACCGGATTCATTAGGCGATGCAGCAGCTCGGCACACAGCCGGGATTCACCGGCACTCCGGAGTGATCAGTTCTAAACGCATCAATCGATCGGCTGCCTCAGACTTCGGCTCACATTAATCTGAACTGAAATGGACTCACTTCTTGTTGCATCGTGGCCGTTGACTTTGCCTCTGTGGTGTTTCAGGTGGAGAAACCTAAGCCCATAAAGTGTGGCACATTCGGGGCCACCTCGCTGCAGCAAAGACACATGGCAACCGGGGACTTTGACGGGAATCTCAATATATGGTATTTCCTTCTCATGTGCGTCGCCGGTGGAACGAGATGGTGAAAGCTCTCCTGCTGAAGTCCACCCGCCGCGTGTGTTGTCCTCAGGAACCTGGAGGCGCCGGACGTGTCCGTGTACAGCGTGAAGGCCCACAAAGAGATCGTGAACTGCATCGACGGGGTCGGCGGCCTGGGGATCGGCGACGGCGCCCCCGAGATCGTCACCGGAAGCCGGGACGGTGAGAGGGGCGAGCAGGTTTTAACGGGCTTCCGGTTTAAGACGTGTCCACAGAGACGTGAGCCCCCCCCCGGTCTCTGTTTCAGGGACAGTCAAAGTGTGGGACCCCAGGCAGAAGGATTCGCCCGTCGCCAACATGGAGCCCGTGGAGGGAGAGACCAAGAGGGACTGCTGGACTGTCGCATTTGGTGAGTGACGTGATAAGAAGTGCTAGTCATGACATGTAATAATGTAATGTAGTCGATAACCACGGTATCATTTTTTTGGGAAACTGTCCCTTGACTTTCAAACCTCTTGTCACAGGCCACGCCTTCAACGACCAGGACCGCTGCGTATGCGCCGGCTACGACAACGGGGACATCAAGCTCTTCGACCTGCGGAATATGTCCCTCCGGTGGGAGACCAACATTAAAAACGGGGTGAGGGGAACCCTCCAGTGAGACTTTCCACAGAGACAAGTCCTGGCATTTGGTTTCTTTTGCACTCAACGCGCTGCACAGCTGCACAGGGGTCATTTCCGCTCACTCCGTTGTCCTGAGGACGGTTTGGGGAGTGACTCTCGTTCTCTCTGAGCAGGTGTGCTGCGTGGAGTTCGACAGGAAAGACATCAACATGAACAAGCTGGTCGCCACGTCGCTGGAGGGAAAGTTCCACGTCTTTGACCTGCGGACCCAGCACCCCACCAAGGGCTTCGCCTCCGTCTCTGAAAAGGTAGGTGACCGGGCTTCTGAAGGATCAGAGGACACCTGGGGTAGAACACCTGAGCCGAGCTGCAGGTGAGGAGCCATCAAGCGAATGACACCTCCTCTTTGTTTCAGGCTCACAAGTCGACCATCTGGCAGGTGAAGCATCTGCCTCAGAACAGAGACATCTTCATGACTACAGGGGGAGCCGGCAACCTGCATCTGTGGAAATAGTGAGTTCTTAATCCATAAGTGCAATAACGCTCCGCGTAAGACTCAACTTACACTGTAAAATGCTTCCCACGTGGTCCCCCAGCGAGTATCCCGCCCAGAGGAGCAGGACGGACTCCGACCAGACGGAGGTGGGCGTGGCCGGCTCTGTCAACCTGCTGCAGAACGCCACCCTGTCCACGCAGCCCATCGCCAGCCTGGACTGGAGCCCCGACAAGCAGGGCCTGTGCGTGTGCTCGGGCTTCGACCAGTCGGTGCGCGTGCTCATCGTCACCAAGCTGCACGCGGCCTGAAGACGGAGAGTCAGTCCGCAGACGTCCTGCTGCAGGTGCATTCAGGAAAAAACCTTTGAGAAGAACTTTGAGATCTCCCTGAGAATAGCACACTGCTGAGTGACACAAATGTTTGCTGTATCAAAAGGATTTCTCATATTATTAAAGAAGGACTGAGACTGAGGGGATGAAGATTTCTTTATCTGCTTTTGTTGCACCGTTAGAGGATGAAGTTTTTTTTTTTTTTACAGTTTTAGTTTTAAAATGTTTTTTATTGAGGGATTAAAGTGCCTTTGGACAAAACATGTTTTCAATGTCTTCTTTATAAACCGCAGAGGATCACTGTATCTGTCCACCATAGAGGCCCTCAAACAGGAAGCTGACCCGCATCGGGAGCTGAAGCTCCGGCTCGTCCTCCTCTCCGGCGTGGATCCCCGGTGAAGACGCTCCTCAGCAGCTCGGTCCTCGACTCGTGCAGCACGTCGATGTATCTGTCGATGGAACCTGCCAACGGCGAGGCGACCACGTGAACCTCAGTGGCGTGGCATCGTGACCCGGGCGCTGGAACACGCGAAGAGCCTCGCGTCACGTTGTTTGACGAGTTTCTTCACTTCCTTTTCAAATCAAACGTGTCAGACATCATGTGATAAAACCGCATTCAACCTCTAAAGATATTAAACGTCTTAAACGTGCTGGGTCGTAACCATGACTACGGTGTGACGGCAGCCAGGACTCACGCAGGCCCGTGACCCTGCCGCGTGCCACGATGCTCGGGCCCAGCTGCTCGTGGTCGTACAGCTGCAGCGCCATCAGCAGGCGGACGATCTCCCCGTGAAGCTCTGCCGGGCCGCAGGGGGAACCGGCAGCAGAGTTTCACCGCGGCCCGGGGGTCCGACGGCTCCAGCAGCCACTCATGGAGCTGGGGGGGGCACGTTAGTAAGAAGAAGGAATGAGGAGTTATCTCATTGAATGTCAAAGTCATGTCCAGAAAATAAAGCTGAACAACAGATTCATCCAAGGTTCAAATTAATGTTTAATTCCATGGTGCCATGGAGACGACCTCTCGATGGAGCAGCTCGGCAGAGGACGCGGGCCAAACCCAGCCGAGAGACGTGGGGGACGTGGCTCTGGACACAAACAGGAAGTAGAACCGAGTCCTTTGACCAAGAAGAACGTCGTTGCGTGAGGTTCCTCGGTGACACAGTAAGACACGCGTGTAAAGACGAGCTGTGACGATGCAATAGACCCGACAGTAAAGCCTCCTCTGGTGCCCCCCCCCAACCCCCCTCGTCTATGTGTGACGCTCTCAAAGCCTGACCCCCCACTGACTGAAGGCCCCCGGAGCGGACTCACTGCTCAGCTGCACCGGGGGCTCTCCGCTCAGAGTCTGCTGCTCCAGCTCCACGCTCGCCTGGAAGCTGAGGCCCCGCTCACGGCTTCCATTGACCCCTCTGAGTTGGGGTCGCGGTCGTACTGATCCAGCTGGGCCGGACCCAAGAGACACAGGGAGCGTGTCCCGCGGCGCCGCCACCACCGCCGGCAGGCAAGCCTGTGAGAGGGGAACATGTCATCAAGTATATGAAGGCATTCTCATGACGATATGGACATAACGTGTGATATCACATGTTCACCGTTAGATGTGCACTGTGTGGAGGAGCGACGTTGGAGTGTAGTGTACTTTTTAAGATGCCCCGCGTCATCAGCTGCAGACTCACCCGCTGCTCTCGGCTCTCCACCGTCGCTCTGTAGTCGGTAACTTGTGGAGTGAACGCCGGACGAGGAGGAGAGCTTCTCCAGATCACAGTTGTCCATTTTCTGGAGCACAAGTGCAAATCCAAAACGAACTCAAACCCTCTGCCTCATCTATTGCATGACGCCCAGGTTACCATAGCAACGAGAACTCCTCCAGATAGAAAGTTACTGAACGGCAATGCTAGTTCTCAGCGTTAATGCTTAAAGCGCATCACCACGGAGGAAAAACTACAACTACAAGTCAGACCTGAACAAAGTAAATAGTATTAAAATACTCTGCTATGAATAGAGCATTATTTTTGCTTATTTGCTCTTCCAAACGGATGGTGGCAGTAGAGTGCGGAAGGAGAAGGAAAAAACCGGAAGTGTGGTTTTAGACTTTTTTATTTATTAATTTTGTTGTGTCTTGTTGATTCATTCTATTTAATTAATCTTGTTGTGGGATTAGAGAAAGGATAGATTGTTTGTCCACACACAAGATTAGATTAGCGTGTGGTGGTAATTCACTCGAAAGCTATTCGCCAATCGCCATTAAATGCAGAAGAAGAAGAATTACGTCACTTCCTGTTAGCGCAAAGCGTGTGGCGTTCGAAAGGGTGACTTAGAGCTCCAGTCTATGGGTAAAACTAACTAACTAACGTCTGTAAATACGGAGAGGTTCCGTTTCCATTGTGTTTTATACAATCACCACGCATTGTCTGCTCAGGTAAACGTCCGCCTGTTGTTCTGCAGCATGCGCAAGCTAACGTTAGCTCACTGGCTACCTGGCTAACAGCTTTGTTTGTGTGACAACCTACACATCTAGCTGCATTTCATTGATTAATTACAGAACAATGGCAGCGGACAGAAAAACGGAGGACTTCCCCCACGAGATCGAGGAGCAGCTCACAGGCTTCGACTCCTCGGTGTCTTCTGTTAAAGCCATGCTGGACAAGTTGATGTCGGTGCCCAGGAGCGACCTGCTGCAGAAGGTCGGCTGCTGCTTTTAGCCGCACACGTTGCGCTGCGTGTTACAGGCACATCGGCAACATGCTGGTGGTTATCAGGCTGCTGTTAACATTTTACCTAATGCACACATTCTCTATTTACCTCTTATTATAATATAAATATAAAATGTGGTAATGTTATTGTGAAAGTGGTTCTAAATGAATGCTTTGTTGACAGCTGGACCCTTTGGATCAAGCCAAGCTGGATCTGATGTCAGCCTACACCCTTAATTCGTTATACTGGAGTAAGTTTCTGTTTCTCTGATACTGTTATTTGTGGATTTGATTGAGACTATATTGCTAGCAGATGGATTAAAACACTGTAAACAAGATGCACAACAGTGGACTTCTACCACACATGTATTCACACAATAGAAAAGGTGTGGCTGTGTTTCAGTGACTGCACAGACGGACATAGAACGTTTGCTTTTAAATGACGTGTTTTCTTACCTTTCGTTTACAGTGTACCTGGTTACACGCGGAGTGAATCCCAGAGAACATGCAATCAAACAGGAGTTGGTGTGTATCTTTTCATCTCGGTTATCTAAACGTTGTTGTGTGATTTATTCAAGTATTTCTTGTGAACGTGACCGATCTGTGTTCTCCAGGAGCGCATCAGGACGTACATGAACAAAGTGAAGGAGATCACGGACAGGAAGAAGGCGGCCCGTCTGGATAAGGGCGCGGCCGGGCGCTTCCTGAGGAACGCGCTCTACGACCCCAACCAGAGGGATTCCAGGAAGACGGCGGCGGGCGCAACGTGTGGCGCCACGCCGCCAAAGCGTCCGAAGCAGAAGTGAAGCGGACAACTGCTGCTTTTTACTTCTTATTTTTTATTAAAACTCTTTTTTTTTTTTGGGGACGATACAAAACCGTTTTTTGCTCTCGAGGCAACAAACCGACTTCAGTGACTGAATTACGTGAGACGAGTTAAATATTAATAATTACGACCGGAGCTTCAATGTGGATGTTCAGTCTTTCATATTGTGAAAATCCCCTCAGGCTTCTGTCACGTGAAATGTTTTCATTAACAAATGCGACAAAAGTATTTAGTTCTGCACGTATTCGTTTAATAGTTTGGATTCTCCTTTCAGATGAATGAGGAATTTCTCCTTTTCCTAAAAGTGATTCTATGAATCTTATTTTTACACATTTACTGATAAACGTCATCATCATAAAACTACTCCGCAAACAGGTCTTAGTCCATTTTTCCTCCCTGTTATATGAGCTCTTTTATATATATATTTCTTTTCTTTACTGCTCCCCAAATCAAGCCCAGGAAACAACTCCCTGGAATTTTTCCGTTGTCCACAAAAGTGACCTGTTGTTCAGCCGAGTTTCTAACCTCCGTCAGGCTGATGAACAACGAGCTCTGGTTGGAGGAGGACGGTGGAACATCACAGCTTCATTGGTTCCACGCAGTCATTCTTTCTTTCCACCTCGGCGCTGATTAATCACGATAACAATGTTTTCCTTTTATTTTGGCCGTTGCCTCACAAATCCTCTCAGGTCTGCGGGGGCTGAAGACGACTTTTAGGGGTCTCACTTCTCAGGTAAAGACACGAGCTGCTCAGATCAGTGAGACATTAAGAGTCCTTTTGTCTTTTAATGCAGTTTCCATCAGAGAGTGCACACTAATGCCCCCCCAATGGGAACTCCGTATCCCCCCCCGGCCCATGTGCGTAGCAGCGTCTCGGTGATGTGGACCCTGCTTTGAGCCCCTCATATGGCTGCAACGTGAACTCAAGCCCCCCGAACCGATACGTAAAGGCTGCAGGATGTCCGCTCAGCCATCAAAGGGAAGGGAAAGACTCTTCCTCCCCCCCCGAGTCCTGGTGCACATGCACACAATTACACACAGAGGGAGTCACTGTGCAGCTGTGACGGCTGGACAACACACACACACACACACAGGAGGTGTGTAACGGATTGAACCCCCCCTCATAGCTGCGCTGTCTTCGAGGTCGCAGGCGGATGAGACCACAGCTGCTTGGACATAAATTTCCAAAAGGAATGTCGGAGCACTCGGCATAAAAACCAAGACTGTGTGTGTGTGTGTGTGTGTGTGTGTGTGTGTGTGCAGGAGGAGGAGGAGGAGGAGTGTGTGTGTGTGTGTGTGTGTGTGTGCAGGAGGAGTAGTGTGTGCAGGAGGAGGAGTGTGTGTGTGTGTGTGTGTGTGCAGGAGGAGTAGTGTGTGCAGGAGGAGGAGTGTGTGTGTGTGTGCAGGAGGAGGAGGAGGAGGAGTGTGTGTGTGCAGGAGGAGGAGTGTGTGTGTGTGTGTGTGCAGGAGGAGTAGTGTGTGTAGGAGAAGGAGTGTGTGTGTGTGTGCAGGAGGAGATGTGTGTGTGTAGGAGAAGGAGTGTGTGTGCAGGAGGAGGAGTGTGTGTGTGTGCGTGTAGGAGAAGGAGTGTGTGTGTGTGTGTGCAGGAGGAGTAGTGTGTGTAGGAGAAGGAGTGTGTGTGTGTGTGCAGGAGGAGATGTGTGTGTGTAGGAGAAGGAGTGTGTGTGTGTGTGTGAGTGTGTGCAGGAGGAGGAGTGTGTGTGTGTGTGT